ATAAAAACTTTTTTTTAACGGCATCCTTTTTAAAATTGATTTCCTTTCTTTTGGAAAATTGGGACTTTTTGAACACGCCGCGGGACATGGGACAAATTATTAAAAATCGTGACTGTCCCACCAAAAGTGGGACGTCTGGTCACCTTACTCTTAGAGGCAGGTGGGGCGATTGGTGAGCCAGCCAATCAGTGAGCAGCAGGCGGGGCAAGCGTGGTGCGAACGGGCAGAGGGAGGGAGCTGGAACCAGTTCTAAACGGTACAGTAAATTTGTGGAACTGGCAGGAACCCACCCCTGATATATTCTATTGGCTGTTGTCAGACTCTCATGGTGCCATGTACAAATCCTATAAGTTTGTCTGAGCTTGGTTGGATTTTGGCTGATGCAATGAAGCGGCTTGTTGGGCAATTCCTATTGTGGCTGAGGGCTAACCCTACCTTTGTTCAGACCTTGCTACAGGGAGTAATGGATTGCCAAATCTGCATTTCTAAAGCTGGCCTTAGCCTAGTATCTGCTTGGGGATAGGGAGTCGAGGCTCTGAGTTTCTGTCACCCTTAAGTTTTTTCTTTTTCTTTTAGGGGAAATATTTTATCCTGCCTTTTTAAATATTTCTCAAAAAATTTCATTTTTCTAGGAGAAGGGTGGGTGCTACCTATCTTAAACTACATTCTGCTTTAACTCCATGTGTGAAATTAATCCATGTTTTTAAGTAAAGGGATTTGGCATTCTGTACATTTTTTTTAAAAAAAGCATTATTATAGAGGAATAGAGGAATACTTTTAAGAAAGGAAGATACTGTACTTTGCAATAAGCATCCTAAAAACTATGCTTATTCCCCTTTATTCGTTTTAAAACTCAACTGTGGCTTCACGGTCTCATAAATGCATAGACAAGCAGCTTGTTTCCGGAATATTGAATTATAGTTCAGCGGTTCTTATGTATTTCAAAACTGAAGTAACAATTGCTTCAAATGACTTTTCCAGGCTGGTTTAAACATTAAGATTAAAAAAAACAGAACAGAGTGGTGAGTCAGTCAGCAGATCACACAGATCTTGGCCAAAGGTCACTTCTCCTTTCTCTGGCTTTCAGTCCTCTCTTACTCTCTTACATATACCACTTCTGTTTTTGTGAAGACCTTTCACCTACTTCTAGAAAACATAATGATGCAAATATTAAATTAAATTAGCAATGTACACAAAGGATTATATGTTTCCATGGAGATATCATTTGACAAATGAGATCGGATTAATTAGCTGCTAAATGGAATATTCCACTAGGCTCAAAATTGATGGCTCTGCTAAAAAAAATAAGAAGGGAGGAAGAGGTTCATGGGAGCCACACTCTTTAATCTCTCAGGATATATCTAATAGGGTTGAAGGTTATGGCTTTAGTTTGGCAAGATTCTGTCCATTGGGTATAAGCAAATAAAGATAGAACTCGATTGAATTTTGCTGTGTCATCACTGAGTTTGGGCTTACCTAACACTATATAATCCAATGAGAGCAAGTGCTGCATTGCTAGTACAAGCTGTGGCCTTGAACCCTGGAAACACAGATACTACAGCTTGAATGGACTGGTCATCTCTCATGATTTACTCTAAGCTTCTCATTTTAAATGAAACTGAAATGTCAGCTCCCATGGAGGAAGAAAGGAAAAAAACCTGTTTGTTGTAGTGCTGATTCTTGGGTAAAAAGGTCATCCGTATGTGTTCCTTGGCCCAATTTTCAGACAAAGCAACCTGTTCCATAAACTACTATAATCTATTGCAGTGCAGTTCAATTTGGATTTGCTTTGACCCCTCTTTTTTTCTGTTAAGTAGGGTGTAGACGAAGGCCCTGAAGGCCTGAAACTCATCAGCGACATCATCCGAGAGAAACTGAAGATAGATATGAGTGTGCTCATGGGTGCCAACATTGCCAATGAAGTGGCAAATGAAATGTTCTGTGAAACTACCATCGGTAATTGACTCATAAATTATTGGTCTGTCATGCCAGGGAAATGAATCCACAACTAGCAGATGGAGTCAGCCAGCTTCTTTTTATAAACCTTCATATCTTGGATATGAAGCCAAGGCTTCGTGTTCTCTTATTCTTTGTATGCTATTGCAGCATTTCTCACACACTCCTTGTTCATCTTTTTAAATTTGCATCCTGATTTTTTGCTCAGAAAGCCCAAGATAGTGGGCTTTACTTAGACACTAGGTAAAATTCATGGCTGAAGGGTCCCAAGTAATATCCGGCACTCTTAAATTAACTGTTGTTTGCTTAAACCTTAGTTTATTCATCCCATTTTTGACGAACGGCACAGAATCACAAACTGAATAGCTTGTTTATGAAGCCAGTCAGTATATTGTAGGCATGCAGCTAGTCCATGCTGCAGATCCAGATTTTCCTCATGGTCCCTTTGTTTGCAATGGCACACTAAATTGTTTTAATCTACTCTCCCACCATACAGCAACTACTGTAAAAACCAGCCAATCTTTTATTTTCTTCTAGGACAGTGATGACCTTTTTGTCATTGCATGCCAAAAGTGTGCACTTGTGGGTGCACCCATGCCAATAATGCAATGCGTGCAACACCCCCACTCACACACCAAACACGCATACACATGTGACACACACACCTCTGTGTTTGCCCTGCCACCGCGCATGTGCCCCGCCCCACCCATTTTTTGTTTCCAGGTTGGTGCAGGAGGCTTTTCAGGCCCAAACTGGGGCACCGGGGTGTGTGTGTGCTTATGCGGCCCCAAAATGCAATGACAGCCCCCCCCCACACATGCACTCCACCCCGCCATGCATGTGCACATGTGTCCCCTGCATAGGTTTTATATTAATATTTCATCACAGTTCAGTTGACTTTGCTATTTTACTGTTAAGAATATAATATAGACTTATTTTTTTCTCAGAAAGTCTATTTCTATTTCATATTTATTTCACTGTCTTTTGACCAAGTTGGAATATTTCACTTAATAGCTAATTTTCACAGGAAAATTGTCTATTTTAAACATTTTCTGAATGTTTTTGACACAAAAATAGACATTTAAAAGAAAAATCATAGAGGAAATAATTCTATCCAGTCAAATGCTTTCTTCTATTGTCAATTAAAATTCTAACACCTGTGCTTCTTTTCTTAGGTTCTAAAAATGCTAAAAATGGGAAGATCTTAAAAGAATTAATGCAAACATCAAATTTCAGAATTACTGTGGTGGATGACTGTGACACCGTGGAACTTTGTGGGGCCTTAAAGGTTTGTTATTCCAAGGAAGTAGTTATGTTCATATGATATACCAGTGGTGTCAAACCTGATTTCATTGAGGGCCACATCAGGGTTGTGTTTGACCTCAGTAGGCCGGGTTGGGAATGGCCAGGATGGGCGTGGCCAGGTCAACGTCACTTGTGTCAGGAGCGCCTGTGGTGGCCCGAGATTGCAACCCTCTGCCAGCGAAAACAGAGCTCAGGAGAGCCACATGTGACTCTCACGAGCTCCTTTTTCGCTGGTAGAGGCACAGAAGACCTGTCCTTCGCTGTTTCCAGGGCAACCCCACAGGCCACATCTAAGCACAGTTGTTAAGTTAGTAACACAGTTGTTAAGTGAATCTGGCTTCCCCACTGATTTTGCTTGTCAGAAGGTCACAAAAGATGATCACATGATCCCGGGACAGTATAATCATCATAAATACATGCCAGTTGCCAAGTGGCTGAATTTTGATTACGTGACCATGATGCTGCTGCAGCGGTCGTAAATGTGAAAAGTGGTCATGTGACTTCTTTTCAGTGCTGTTGTAATGAAACAATTTGCCTCCTTGCAGCAAACAGCCTGGTCAGCTTCAGCACAGCCTGATTTAGCACGAGCAGCTGATTGGCAGTTGGATCTGCCTCCCAGATAAGTGGAAGTGGCAGCAAGGCCCGCTGCCTGAAACCGGCAAAAAATGGGATGCCGTAAATGGGGCAGGTGGAGGCAGCGACCATGATTGACTGGGCAATGGGTGGCAGTGATCCCTGCAGCCAGGAACAGCTGATAGGTGGTATTCCAGGAGACAGATCTAATTGCTAATTAGCTGCTTGTGCTAGATCAGGCTGTGCTGAAGCTGACCAGGCTGTTTGTTGTTTGCTGCAAGGAGGCAAATTGCTGGGAGGCAGAGTCCGAAGGATGGTGACCGGTAGGTGGGCAGGACTTCGGCAACATTTGCTGTATAAGGCTCACTTACAGACATTTCCATCCACTTTGGGGGGGGNTTTTTTTAACTGCACAGTATTTAAGTGATTGTATAAAGGAAAATGAAAATGAAATAAAAGATGTTAACCGTTAAGACACAAAACAGAAGTTCTCAACCCTTTTTGGATTGATGGGTACATTTGACATTTTGGCTGGGACTTTTGGTGGTTTTTTTAAATGTTAAAAAAGAAAGTGGGTCAACCCTTTGAGACAGATCAGGTCAAGAAAGAGGCATAGAAAGGATTCCAGGAATATAATTGTATTGTAAGGTACATAAGTAGTGTTGGAAGAAATGTTCATCTGGGTTCAGTTCCAATTGGGAGAAAGACACTGGAAACACGGAGGCTGTTTGGAAAGATGGTTTAATGGTGGACAGGACCACATGGTTTGAGGTCCTGGACAATTTAGCCCATGGGAGGGAGAGGGGGAGGAGTCAATTTTTTCTATTGTTAAGTAAGGCAGCTGCAAATTTTGCCCCATTTTATGAACTTTCTTGCCAGACTTGTTAAGGGAATTACTGCAGTTGTTAAATTAGTAACACGGTTGTTAAGACTTAGCTTGTCAGAAGGTTGCAAAAGATGATCACATGACCCCAGAAGATTGCATCGGTCATAAATACTCAGTTAATTGCCGTGTCAAATTTTGATTACGTGACCATGGGGATGTTGCAACCGTGGTAAGTATGAAAAATGATCATAAGTCACTTTCTTCAGCACTGTTGCAGCTTCAGTCACTAAGTGAATGTTTGTTAGTTGAGGACTATCTGTAATAACAGATTCTTGAAAGCTTGCCCACGTTTTTCTGTCCTATCAAGAGACCAATCAAGATGGGGTTATCTTTAGTTTTCCTCTCATGCTCTCCTCTTTCACCAGCCTTCTGCCAGTTCCCCCTTAAAAATTTGCTCAGGCCTTCTCCAGACACAGCTCTAGGTCCCTGACAGTGTGGCAGGGAGCTTAGAGATACCAAGAGAGGCATCCAGGAGATATATTTTGTCAATATAATCAGTTTGCTACATTTTTTTTGAAGTTTTTTGTTTTGCACATGCCTGCCTAATTTATTACTCTAGTTATTCATTAGAAATATATTGTGTTTTAGCTGTCTTTGTATAACTTTAATGTGTGTCTTGGATTTATGGCTATTCCCTGTATGTTGTCTTCAAACATAAGGACAAGTTAACCTGTAGTCTCCTAAATCCTACTGGGGAACCATATATAAGCTAAACTTATAAATAAACCACTTCTATAATATAAACCTTGTAGAATCTGAATTCCATTATAAAGATTTAATATTGAGGATGGGGGCCCTAATCTTTCAGTCTAATCTATCTATCTTATGGTTAAACTATTTGGGATCAGGGTTTACAAGAGAGGTTGTCTCCATCCCTCAAAATTCTTGTCCTTTTTCAAGGGCACTTGAAACTTGACCACTTTAAGACTTGTGGACTTCAATTCCTTAGGGGAATTCTGGGAGTTGAAGTCCACAAGTCTTAAAGTAGCCACTTTTGAAGGCTCTTATTCAAGACTGTTGCAGCTGGAGTGCCTCCCTTCAATCTCTTCCCCTTAAAGGCACAGATAAAGCCAGGTACCAACTATTCTTCATAGTGTTTTGTTCATTTCATCTTTTTTCCCTCTTGAAAACAATATATGGGCCTATCTAGTTGTTTAGAACATTTCTTCTGTTACAAAGTAAGGGGTGAGATCATTCATTTCATAAGTCCTCCTCCTCGATATTTCTAGATCAAAAGGTGAGGCATGACCTTGGATTTGGTCCCTCACCTCAGTTGAGTTGTCCGCCTTTTTTTAATCACTAGAGGAAGTTATCATATATATTACAAAGTCCTCTTCATTTATGAAGCAAACTCTGATTACATTGCTCAATCTGGCAGAGACACAAAAGAAAGAGCTATAAAGAAAGAGATCTAATTCTGATAAATTTGCCTTTGCTTAGCTGAGCTTTGCAGTATATGTCCTGAATTCTTCCTATCTGCTTTGCCCCTTAAAGTATTAACCACATAATCTACATTTTTTTAAACAATCTTGTATGAGTCACAAAAAACAGCTTTAAAGACACGTGAAATATGAACAGTATTAGCTTTCCTCAACAGCAATTCTTCTTCTCCCCTTTTTGCTATAGTTTTTTTGGTAAATGCTTTAATTTGTTAAGCTTTGTATAGCAAAAAGATAAAGTTATTACCCAAGTTATAGGAATTCCATCATTTGCTATTGTTTTTTTCCCTTCTTTAACATATGCACCTGTAAAGCATGTGAACATTAGTTCACTTGAAAGTTATTGAATAAATCATGTAAAAATCTCCTTCCAATTGAGCTTGGCTCAAAGTGATCCTAGGTATGATCTACTATAGTACAACAGACATGACCAATGGAAAATGAGGGGCAAATCATCTGGCCAATTAATTGATTAATTCTGGACCATCATTTCATTTCTCTGTGATGATCTGTCCCTAACCTGATCTTTTATAGTGAATGCATCACCACTGTAACTGAGTCCACCTTAATGCTAGTCATCCAACTGGACAAACAGAGTTGATATAGTCTATAACAGCAGCCCCCAATCTTTTGAGAAACAGGGACTGGTTTTCCCATGGACCTGGTGGTGGTGGTATACTTTGTGTGATGCCTGCATCGTGCAGATGGAGTTTTGTTTATTTGCACAGCCCATTTACTGGCATGCTATTGGCTTTATAGAAAAAGTTAATAAATAGAAGCTTGGGTCTCCTGCATAATTAGATTAGATTGCTTTTATTTATAGGCCGCCCTTTTCCCTGAGGGGACTCAGGGCGGCTTACAACCTATAGGGA